AGGCTACTGGATGGAGATGATGGTCCCCTGCGTTGCCCGAAAGGGGTACCTGCAGCCCGTGACATCGTCCAGTTTGTACCCTTCAGGGACTTCAAGGATGTAAGTATTTGGTGCTCTCTCCCAGTGAGAGGGCTTCTCAACAATTCATGCCCTCCTATCTGCCTTCCTCATCCTCTCGATGTCCTTTTGAAGATCACTGGAATCCGGCATGCCTCTCTGAAGCTTATCCGTTGCTCATTGACCCAGCTGCCCCCACTCTCCTGCCCCTAACCAATCTCCTTTCCTCCCAGGCTGCTCCCTCTGCACTAGCTAAGTGTGTCCTGGCAGAGGTACCACGGCAGGTGGTAGAGTACTATGCCAGCCAAGGTATCAGTCCAGGAGCTCCCAGACCCTCTACACCAGCTGTGACCCCCAGCCCTAGCCCGTGACTGCCTCTCAACAAACCAACACTCCCTCAGTCCTTCAGTGAGTTCTGGGGGACCAAAAGGGTGGATGCAAAAGGGATTCAAAGTGGAGCATTTGAATGATCCATCTTGGCTGCTGTGGCTGGTGTTATGCTTCTGACTACCCTACTCCTCTCAGGTGCCTGTGCTGACCCTTGTGACTCCAATGACCAGTGTCTCTGCCTCTTGGACCAGTGGTGGCCTGGGAGTCCTAGAAGTGAGTGGTGGGCCCTGCTCCCATCTCTTCAAGCCCCATATCCCTCAGTTCTGTGGACCCTCAATAACTTCCTTCAGTGATTGTGACTTTATGGATGTGAATAAAGGGAACTACCCCCAGTACTCCAACCCCTACCCATCATGCTTCAAATGCTCGTTGGAGAGTCCATCACTCCCACATACACCATAGGAAATGGATCCCATCTCTTTCCAAATCTGAGCCAGAGCTCCCCAAGCAAACTGTTGTCTCTGCAGCCCCCCAACTGTGTGCCTGCGGGACCTAAGGGGTCCCTACCCTCACCTCCCAAGCCCAGGGGGTCTAAACAGCATGGGTTTTAATTACAGGATGGAAATGAGGGGCTGTCAAGAGGGCAGGCTGATGCTCTTAGAGCTGTCTCCAGAGAGGCCCCGCTGAGTGTCCCAGGGGCTGAACCCCAGCCCCCACACAGCTGTGGGACAGGCTAAGGAGGGATTGTGGGGAGGTGAAGGAGTGTGGCGGGTTTGCTGATGAGTTAGACTCACAGAGAGAACATCTGCAAAGCCAGGTTTTCCTGGTGAGTGTGTTCATGTCACCACACATACCTAACCCTCTGTGAGTGAGGTTTTGGGAAGTCCAGTCGGGGACTCTTACTGAGGAGTGTTCTTTGGCACTCGTCACACTTGGCTTCTTTAACTGTATATTGTGATAGCAAGTCAGAGCACTATTTCTCCGTTTTCCTGACGAAGGAGTAAGGCTTGATTTTAACTCTTCCAAGGTCAGGAAAGAGCCAGAACTGAGGCTGCCTAGCCACAACACCCACACTCGTCATCACTACAGCACCTTTGCTATCCTCAGGGTCCAGATACGCCATCTTGAGACCTGGTATATGCATGCTATGGCCTGATCTGTGAGCATAAGTGTCTGAGGATAGTGTCTCTGCCCTTGTGTGCCAGTGCCATGCAAATAAGAAAGGGATGCAAGAGACTCAATGGGTCTGGATTGAAACTCCAAAGGACAGAAGAGGACACAAAAGAAATTCAGAGTGGGGGGGGAAGGTAGGAGATGTGCCACATGCCTGTAATCCCATCACTCAGAAAGCAAAAGCATGGCCAAGGGGGGTGGCACACACCTTTAATCCCAGCACCCAGCACACGAGGCAGAGGCAGGTGGACTGCACTGCTGAGTTCAAGGCTAGCTTGGTCTACAAAATGAGTTCCAGGCCAGCTAAGACTACACACTGGGACCCTGTCTCAAAAAAAAAAAAAAAAGAAAGAAAGAAAGAAAGGAAAGAAAGGAAAAAGAAAAAGTAAACCCAGGATCCTGAGTTTGAGGCTAGCCTGGGCTACATAGTAAAAAAGACAAAAGGAACACAGAGTAAAGGAAGGAGAGCTGAGATCCTAGGTGGGCTCCCTCTGCCCCAGCCTCTCCCTGCAACAACGAATGTAAAAGAGGAAGATGCTGAGAGTCCCCATAGGGAGGAGCCCAAGCCAGAGAGGAAGGCCACCACGGATCAAAGACAGGAGGGCTGCAGGAAAGGACTCCTCTCTCAATCCCCTGCATAGATGAAGGATGAGCTAGGCTAGAGGAGGGGACAGAGAGAACAAGAAATGTGATGGGAAGAGAAGAGACAGCTGGTCGGGGGAGGGTAGTGGGGGCAGGAAGGAAGAAAGACATATGGGAGCCACTTCCCCCACACAGGACTGCTTCTCCCATTTATTATGTCCCTTAGAGGACAGATGACAGCGGCTGATGAGGTGGACACTCCCAGCTCAAAGCTTCTGCTCTGCCCAAAGGCCCTCCCCATATGTTGCTGAACTGGAGGGCGGGGTTACCATGGCAACTGTGAGACCAGGGAGGACAGCCACACACAGGCCTAGCCAGGGCCACTGCTGCTCCTGGGCTTTGGTGGTGGTGGTGGTGGTGGTGGTGGTGGTGGTGGTGGTGGTGGTGGTGGTTGATGGTGTGTGTGTCTCCATCTGGACCATTCCCCACCGGCTCCAATCCACTTTCATTGACCTCTAGAACTGAGGTGTACACGGCACAGCTCCACAGAGTCTCTCTCTGCACAAATGAGGCAAGCAGTCTACCACTGAGCTACAGCATACCCCCAATTCCACGTCTCCCCTCTCCCTCCACCTCTCTCTGACTCCCTCTCAAACAGACAGACAAGACAGTAGCCTGAAGCCGTGATAGAGAATTAACTCTTTTTAAATTGCAAGAACATTTAACCAATAACATTAGTTTTTCCTGGGCTTGAGGTTGAATTCACAAAAGCCACACTCTCTCAGCTGCCGGTTATCCTGTGACGTTGCACTTGCTCTGAGTGGCAAGAGGTAACAGAGGCACCCTCTGCACTCTGAAGGCCATCATAGCCTAAAGGGAGCCACAGAGGGCCAGTGCAAGTGAGAGCTACCGCCTAAGCTACAGCCTGGAGGCTGAGGTGGAACAGGATGTCCTTTTGGTTCAGCCATCCTGGGGCCTCTTGGGGAGACCATTTAGACTTGCTCACCGTGGAAGATACCAAAACTAGAAGTGTCAGAAGTCATCCAATCCAAATAAAAGTTAGATGAAGCAACTACAATCAGATGGCGATTGCTTTGCTTAAGGTGGCAGACATATAGTTGAGACTAGTGCCCAGGTCTCCAGGCTCCCGTCCAGGGTGTTTGCTCTGTTGCTTTGGACTCTAAAAAGGCCACTGGATTGAGCAGGGAAAAGCGTCTTGAGTTGACCTATTACTCTATTTGGAGGAACTAAGAAAGATCTTGAAAATTCAGTAGTCCTAACACAGGGAGTCCCAAGCTTCAGCGAAAATGCAGCTTCATTGTCAATTACAGTAGGTATCAAAGCACTACAGGTTGAAAACCTTGAATTAAGAGCTAGACTGGTGGGCGATGCTGCACGGCTCCCTCTCCTCCCATTGAGCATGCCACCCGCCCATCCCCCACACTTCCACTCTCGGTACAGGCACTAGTCCCTGCAGAATTCAGTACCCTAATCATGAAGGCTTATGGCCTGCAAAAGGGAAGGAGACTCATCTCCAGCAAAGGACGAGCATCTAACCTCTGGCATGCCACGAGGGTCAGAGGTTTGGGGGTATTTGTATCGACATACAGGACCACGAGTTGCGATTTGGTGAATCATACTCTCCTGTATAGTGCCACCTACCCAGACACCCTCAAACCGTGACAATATTTCAACAAGATCACAGGATATATAAACAACAACAAAAAAACCCAAAAGTAATCAGAATGGAAAATATAAAGCTGAAAGATGTCTTAGTGTTTCTATTGTTATGATGAAACAACATGACCAATAGCAAGTTGGGGAAAAATGAGGGTTTGTTCCACAGTACATCATCAAGGGAAATTAGGACAAGAACTCAAACAGGGAAGGGAACTGGAGTCAGGAGCTGATGCAGAGTCCATGGAGGAATGCTGCTTACTGGGTTGCTCATCATGGATTAATTACCTGGCTTGCTTTCTTATGGAACCCAGGACATCTAGCCCAGGGGTGAGACCATCCACAATGGGCTCGACACCCCCCCCCCCCCCACCCCACACACACACACACACACACACACACACACACACACACACACACACACGTGTCTTGTGGCCCTTCCGCAAGTGTCGCAGTGTGAGCTCCGCCCCCCGCGTTATGGCGAGCCAATCGTGCCTCTGGACGCTGCGCACCCTTCAACTGTCCGCAACATCCTGGGGACCCTCGCCCAGACAAATCCTGCCCTTGCCACAGACGACACGTTTCCCTGTCCTGAACACCACAACCCGGTGACCCTCAAGGATTTGGATTACATCCTAATGCCCTCAACACCCATCTGTGTCTATAATTAATAGGATGAGTCCCAATCCTTTCTGAGAAGGTTAGGCTCCGGGAAAAACACGGAGCCTTGAAAAAGCCAACTTCAACCACAGCCTTTACCCAGCTAGATTCCACACATCCTTATCTATTTGCTTTTACATAACCGCTCATCCCCCACAATGCTCTTAAACTCTAAGCCCTTTTCCCTTTGAGACCGCTTCTAATCGTTTGCTTTGTTTTGTTTTGTTTTTTTGGCAGGGTCTCACTGTGTAGTCGTGGCTGGCCCGGTATACACTAATTAGACCAGGCTGGCTTCTAACTCACGGAAATCTGCCTGAATCTGTCTCCCAAGTACTGGGATTAAAGGTGTGAACCACAACTCTTGGCCTCTTCCTTGTCTTCCCTCTGTTCCCCATAATTCAACTATTTCCTACTATTTTGAAAAATTGATGTAGTTTTTTTTTTTTTTTTCAAGGACCTTGCTGTCTCTTTCCAGTCCACAACCCTCTCCAGGAATTTCCCTCTCTTGATGGTTTCTTTCCCTAAGACTTCCTTTTCTCATGGTCACTCACCTGGGCATGCTGGGCTCCTGTCTCTCCTGGGCTCCCTGAATAGTAGCCATGGGGCCCTTCTACAGGAACTGGGCCCTGATTCTGTAGTAGCTCCACAGCCTCGTCAGGACTCAGCCCCAGAACCTCATCAGACCCCAGCTGCTGCTGCAGGGTAGCCAACCAATACAGCTCCTCCAGGCCTGGCCTGGGGCCCTCACTGCTGCCCACCAGGCCTGGCTCACTGAAGGTGGGTGAAGGAGGCACAGAGCTGTAAGGTGTGGAGCCCAGTGAGGCTGTAGGGAGTCCAGATCGGCCCTCCGAAGGCTCCCGCTTTATTTCAAACTTCATCAAGTCAAAGTCATTAACATATTCCATAGCCAGGGGACTCGGGGGAAGAGCCATTCTGGGACTGAGCTGAGAAAGGTGTTCCTGCAAGAAAAAGGGAAAGTCTGAAACTCTCGGGGGCTGCCTGCTATCCCTCTCAGTGTACTTCCTTCCCCCAAGACCCAAGTGCCCTGAAACTCGAGCTCTGGGACTCCAGAGAAATAATGCAGCCGTCTTTCCTGCACAGTCACTTCCAGGTGGCTCCTGACAGACAATAGAAACTGGAAGCCTGAAGGACAAAATGAACAGCACAGCCTCTCACCCCTTTGGTGCCTCTGGATCCATGAAAAACAACAGCAACATGGCAGTGCTCAAGACCCCAGTGCTGGGACATGCTGAGATGGTAAGCTCTGTCATCTCCAGAGGCACCATTCCATTTACAAGCAATGAAAATTTGTGCTTCGTTAACTGTGGTTGTGTGTGTGTGTGTGTGGTTGTGGGTGTGTGTCTGTGTGGCTGTGTGTTTATATGTATGTGGCTGTGTGTGTGTGTGTGTGTGTGTGTGTGTGTGTATGTGTGTGTATGTGGCTGTGTGTATATGTGTATGTGGCTCTGTATGTGAATGTGTGTGTGTGTGTGTGTGCCTGTGTGTGTGTGTGTGTGTCTGCGTGTGTGTATGTGGCTGTGTGGCAGTGTATGGTTGTGTGTATATGTGTGTGTATTGTTTCTGCATGTGTGTGTGTGTGTGTGTGTGTGTGTGTGGCTCTATGTAAGTGTGTGTATGTGGTTGGGGGGTCTGTGTGTATATATGTGACTGTGTGTATGTATGTGGCCCTGTATGTGGTGTGTGTGGCTGTGTGTGTATGTGTGTGTTAGAGTAGTGGGAAGACACTATGCTGTGAATTTCAGGGTATAAGGATATTGTGCCGTTATCTTTATCTCTCAAAGCCTTCAGGATAGTGTCAGTTACACATTTGTTCTGTGGGTTAGTCAACAGACAAGTCTCTTCTATAAGAGGCTTTCTATGGGGAAAAAGTTTCCAGAAAGATCTGGACTAAGTGGCCACTCTCTCCTTGAGGCCAATCTCTCCAAAGAGAACCCATGAAGACAGACCTTTGATTTAGAACCTGCCATGTTAATGTGTGTTTGCGCAGGTTGCCTTTGCTTTCTGACCTTGATGTTCACTGCACGAAGTTAGACTTTGGAAACTTCCCCCAAGAGTGTTCTGTGGAACACTGATTCTGAGAAATGCCCTAGAAGAGGTTTATACGCAGGTAATTTAGGGAAGGCTGCCTCTTAGCCCCATCTCTTACAGATTCATAAGCACGAAAATATATTAATCCAAGAAGCCCTTGAGCAAACCATCATTCAACAGAGTGTACCAAATTTCCAACACTAAGGAGTTCTCACATGTTCACCTCTGCCTCACTAGCTTACACTCCCAGTCTGCAAGCCCCAGCTCCGGTCCAGTTCCCAATAGCAACAGGCACACCCCCAGGCCCAGAAGGGGAAGTTGGGGGCCTCATCCCCCAGCATTTGCACTTTAGCTGCCTCTTGATCCCCTCCTTTCTTCAGCCGAATCTCAGACTTCCACACTCTGACTGAGGGCTGAGGGGTAGAACAGGCTCCTCTTCTTTTTCAGGGGAGAGTTGTTCTCTGCAGAACCACCCAACCCTGAGAGGACAGGAGTGCTAGAAGGAGCTTGTCCTCAGCCAAAAGGAGGCGGTGGGGCACTGATAGAGGTGTCAGAGAGGCAAGAGATGTTAAACTGTTAAGCAGGGAAAGTTGCTTATCTTTCTGATATGATAGTAGCCAGAGTAGGGATGGGACAGGATACAGAAGAGTGAGCACATAAGATACAACAGAGAGGAGACGCAGGAATCAGAGGAGGCCTAGCACCCAGGGGTCACCAGACATACTCACTTTAGGAATGGCGGAGATGACGTAGTCAGTGTCAGAACCAGAAAGGCACCACTTTCCCAGAGATGAGAGACTCCATAGAGCAGGGTCTGGTGTCCCTGTATTCAGAACAAGGGGGCTGTGGGTACAGAGCCCAAAGGGCACTCTTAAAGGGCTAGTTCTCGGAGATCATCTGTGGTCCTCAAGCCTCAGCCAATGAGATAAAGGGCTTATTTGCATATCTCATTGACCTGGGACAGGTATGCAGAGGACAGTGAAGGACAGGTACTCCTTCTCAAGAAAGGAAAAGGGACATCTTTCCCAAGAAAGCTTCTAATTGGTGGCCACTTACATGTGCTCGGTTTCCAGTGTGGAGAGTCCCAGTGGCCCCAAGCACCATGCTGTGTGAACACAGCCCTCAGCCCAGTCACTCAGCCTAGGGCTGGCCAGAGTCCAGACCAACTCCCAGAAACCTCATCTTTTAAGACTCTGCACCTCCCACCCATGTCTGTGGGACGGATACACCTTCCCAGCCCTTTCTCATCGGGCTTGTTGGGTCTGCTTCCTCTTTTCAAGTATCCTAAAATTTCAGCCCTCCACCCCACCTTCACCCTATCTGGCTTTATACTTCTCAGAGTCACTGTGTTAGAAAGATAAGCAACTTTCTCTATGAAGAATCCTGCTCTTGGGGGCTGGAGAGATGGCTCAGCAGTTAAGAGCACTGGTTGCTTTTCCAGAGGACCAGGGTTCTATTCCCAGCACCCACATAGCAGCTCACAACTGTCTGTAACTCCAGTTCCTGGGGAATCTGACACCATCACACCAATGCATATAAAATAAAGTTAAAATTTAAAAAAAAAAAGAATCCAGCTCTTAACAACCCAACCCCAAGACAAGCAGCCCCACTTAAGAGAAGGGAGAGAAAAAGAGAGGCTAGACTCCTGGGACACCAAAAGAGTCTGAAATCTAATCAGATAGGCTTTTGTAACTGCCCTCAGGAGCCCTCTGCTTCCTCTCACCTTTTCCCTGTGTGTGTCTCGGTCCCTCTCTCCTCCTCTCTCACTCATCCTGATTCCCAGACGACTGGGCTATGACCTACATTTTCAGGCTAATCCCCTAACACCTCTTAGGGCTATCATCCCCCAGGAGGAGCTGGAGCAGGATACTAAGTCTTAGCCAAGGAGATGTTTAAACCTGTCTGAAGCTGTTTAAATAGCTGAATAAACTCCAGACGATAAAAGGTATCCCAACCTCCTGAGGACACCCAGAAAGTTAGTTAATAGACCTTCTTTCCCAATGCAGAGCAAGGTCTGGGCTCTGTTAGCCTCAATAGTCCTCATAACCTTGTCCCAGCTTTATATGTTATCGAAGAGCTACTAGATGCAGATTACTTATGACTATAGCTCCCAAAATGTGGTCCTCGGGTCATCAATAACAGCATCTCTTGGGAACTTGAAGAAACAAGTTCTCTGGCTTTACCTCAAACTCACAGAATCAAGAACTCTGTAGGTAGAATGTAGATACTGGTAATTTAATAAGCCCTTCTAGCAATTCTGACACACGCTAAGGTTTGAGAACCACTGGTCTACAGATGCCTGCATCCAACCTGTCTTGTGCGCATATGAATGTGTACACATGTGTTCATGTGTGTGTGTGTGTGTGTGCATTCATGTTTGTGTTGTGTGTGTGCACTCATGTGTGTGTGTGTGTGTGTGTGCATTAATGTTTGTGTTGCTTGTGTGCACTCATTTGTGTGTGCATTCATGTTTGTGTTGTGTGTGTGCACTCGTGTGTGTGTGTGTGTGTGCATTCATGTTTGTGTTGTGTGCATGCACACGTGTGTGTGTGTATTCATGTGCATTCATGTTTGTGTTGCGTGCATGCACACGTATGTGTATGTGTGTGTGTGCATTCATGTTTCTGTTGTGTGCATGCACATGTGTGCGTGTTCATGTTTGTGTTGTGTGCACGCACTCGTGTGTGTGTGTGTGTGTGTGTGTGTGTGTGTGTGTGTGTGTACCTACACTACACAAGTTTTCCATCACTGCTTGGATATAAATAGCCCCCAAATGCTCATTTGTTAAAGGCTTGTTTCCCAGATAAGGGCACAATTGAGAAGTGATCAGATAAAAGTGCTAAACTTATCAATGAGTTTATCAGAGGAATTCATACTGAATTGGCTGAGAGGAGATAGGGCCTAACTGGAAGAAATATGCCTGTGAATGGTATATCGTCTCCTTAGTTCATCCATATATGTTCTCTCTGTGTCCTTCCCATCTCCCTCCCTCCCGTCCTCTCTCTCAGCTCCCTCTTTCTCTCTCCTTCTCTCCTTGCTTCACCGTATATTCTCCACCATGATGTTAGATTTTGGACCAAAGCAATAGAACCACATAACTATCAACTGAAACTAAAACCATTAGCCCAAAGTAATCTCTCCTCCTTTGATTTTTTTTTTTTCTGGCACGTTGTCACAACAACAAAAAACTGGCTAACACAATTGCTCCAACAGATACTTGAAGTAATCAACTTCCATTGGAAAAAGAGGTTTGTGCCAAGTGGTGGTACCCATCCTTGATCCCAACACCCAGGAGGCAGAAGCAGGCAGATCTCTGAGTGCAAGGCCAGCCTGGTCTACAGAGTGAGTTCCAGGACAGCCAGAACTGTTACACAAATGGGGGGAAGGGAAAGGCTTGTTTTGACTTGTTGCCTTAGAGATGCCAGCCTGTGAGCACTGGGCCCCATCATTTATTACCTGGAGTGAGTCAAGCTGGCATGGCAGGGACACACACACCTTAAGGCTTCTCACTTCTTACAGAAAAGTAAGGGAAGGGGACAGGGCCACTTTCCTCACCCAGGGACCAGAAGACTTCCCACCAGCTCCACCTCCTGAAATCTTCACCACCTTCCAATGGTGACAATAGTGAACTCTTGTGCCTTTGGAGGACTTTTGTTTTGTTTTTCCAGAAGTTTCTCTGTGTTAACAACCCTGGCTGTCCTGGAACTCACAGAGATCCACCTGCCTCTGCCTCTCTAGTGCAGGATATAAAGACATGTGCCACCATGCCCACCCAGCCTTGGAGAACATTTGAAATCTAAGCTTTGTACATACACACTAGAGGGCCTAAATCATGTCCCGACTCCCCACCCCCCACCCCCATGCCTATTCAAGTAGAAATGTT